GTTCTGCTTTGGCTCACTTTTAACTAGGATGAACCCCTCTTGCAGAGCCATCAATGGCATCTCCGCTTCTTAATGCGAACAGGTTCAAACCTGCACCTCTGCATTAGGACTGAGGGCTTGTGTTCTCCCACCAGACTGCGACCTCTGAGTACTAAGCGTGGGTCTGATCGCCGTGATCTCCCATCACACTGAGACCCCGGAGGGCTGCAACCAGGCCTGGTTCCTGTGTCTCCCCACCGTACTGTGGCCTCTGAAGGCAGAGAACAGGCCTGGCTCCTGTGTCTGCTCCAGCACGCTGTGCCCCTTAGGCTTGGAAAGAGACTTCTAGCTTACCTGTGGCCCCATATTTCCCATTCCACAGCCTCCCAATATCACTGCAGGCCACAGCAGCCCCAGCTACACTCTCTGCATCGTCTTCTGCAGGGGGCTCCAGGACCCCTGCCATGTCGTCATCATCCTCATCGAGGGTCTTGCTGCGGCAACAGCTCATGCGGGCCCAGGCACAAGAGCAGGAGAGGCGTGAGCGTCGGGAACAGGCCGCAGCCACTCCCTTCCCCAGTCCCGCACCTGCCTCTCCCGCCATCTCTGTGGTTGGCGTCGCTGCTGGGGGCCACACGTTGAGCCGTCCGCCACCTGCTCAGGTGCCCAGGGAGGTACTCAAGGTAAGGTGAGGTCCAGAGGCCCTGGGAGTTACTCCTGGTGACTAAGGAGTCGTTCTGGAAGCTGGGGAAGGCCTGGGTTCCTGGTAGCTTTGGGGCAAGGGTCATGACCTTTGTTCATGTCCCATATGTTTAGTATTTTTGAGGTTTGCTTGTGGATTTGTGAGGGTTCTTTGGGATCACTGGGATGTCTTGGTGCACCATACAGGTTCCTGAGTACCTTAGGTGGGCCCAGGCTTTGTAGGAATAAGCTGTGTGTGTGTGTGTGTGTGTGTGTGTGTGTGTGTGTGTGAGAGAGAGAGAGAGAGAGAGAGAGAGAGAGAGGGAGAGAGAGAGAGATACAGTGGACCCTTGACTTACAAACTCAGTTCATGCAAGGACTTCTTGTAACTCAAATTGGTCAGTGAAGGTTCAGGCTCCTCCAGTCTTCAAAGTCTCCAGTGTACAGGTAGATCTCAGTGTCCTTAGACATTGGCCCAGGGTTTCTCAACCCCATATAAGAAAGGATGTTGTCATGTTCCTTCCAGAACTCTTTAAGGGTTAAATCTGTATCTGAGACCATCTGGAAGCACAAGCAGCCAGTATTTGGATTGTAAATCAAGACTTTGTTCCTAAGTTAAAACGAATTCTGGTCCTAACCAAAGTTGTTTGTATGTCAGGCCCCTCGTAACTTGAGGGTTCACTGTATATTAAGAGTTCTTTAGCCATCAAGGTGTGTCAGGAAGCCACGTGTAGTTCCAGGGTCCCTTAGGCAGTGTCAGAGACTAAGAGGAATCTTGGGGACTGTGACAGGGGCTCTACTGTGAAAGACCCTGTTAACTGGGTAAATTTTAGGGGCTTTGAAGGATTTCTGAGAAAGGGAATTTGGGTCCATGAGTAGACTTACCAATACTTTTTATGTTTTTGCTAGGCATGGTGGTGCTCACCTGTGATGCTACCACTCTAGGGGGCTGGGCAGGAGGATCACCTAGGCAGCTAAGGGACTCCAAAAGACTCTGTCTCAAACTGAAAAAAAAATTAAAGGGCTGGGGATGTAACTCAGTGTGAAGGCCCTGGGTTCAAGTCCTTAGTACTGCAAAACATTTAATTTTTAAATGTTATTATTATGGTTTTAGGGGCATTCCACCACCGAGCTATATCCTCAGTCTCCCACTTTGGTTCCCCCTCCCTCACCCCTGGTACGAGGGATTGAACTCAGGACCTAGCGCTTACCCGGCAGGCACAGTGCCATTGAGCTACATCCCCAGCCCTCCACTTTTGTTTTTTGAGAGCATTTCACTAAGTTGCTCAGGCAAGACTTAAATTTGCAGTCCTCCTGCCTCATCCTCCCTCATTTCTGGGATTATAGTCATGTGTCACCACACCCTGCTCACTAGTATTTTTGAGTGATTTTCGAATCACTCAAATCACAAATCAAAACTGTTCCCTTCCCTCACATCCCTCATCCCACAGGTGCAGACCCACCTGGAGAACCCAACACGCTACCATCTGCAGCAAGCACGCCGGCAGCAAGTAAAACAGTACCTGTCCACCACACTTGGGCCCAAACTGGCTTCCCAGGCCCTCACTCCACCACCGGGGCCCACGAGTGCCCAGCCCCTGCCTGCTCCTGAGGCTGCCCATGCCACTGGCCCCACAGGCAGCGCCCCTAACAGCCCCATGGCACTGCTCACCATTGGGTCCAGCTCAGAGAAGGAGGTAAGAGGCTATAGACAACTCTCTGATGCCCTCGTTCCAGTTTTTTGCTAGGCATGTGCTCTACCACTCAGCTAGCTACACCCCCAGCCTCCCCTTCCGGTTCTTCTCACCCTGTACAATGTTTACTTCTTCCCCTAGATTGATGATGTCATTGATGAGATCATTAGTCTGGAGTCCAGTTACAACGATGAGATGCTCAGCTATCTGCCCGGAGGCACCACAGGGCTGCAGCTCCCCAGCACGGTGAGGCCCAGAGATGGGAGGTTGGACTAGAAACAAGGGCATCCTTCTGTCACTAAGACTGGCTGAGACCCTTGCACTGACACAGAGAGGGAAGCCAGGTGGCGAGAGTGGAACATGCCATTGCCTTACACTTCATGCCCTACTGCCTTGAGAGGTGGCCCTTGCAGGCTGATGTGGGGTAAGGAGTTGATGGAAATATTAAGCCGTGTCAGAGTGCTCAGGTTTTGCTGTGGGAAGTACCAAGAGATGGGAATCATGGAACAATTTGAGTGTCCCAACAGACCATGTAGTAACAGAGACATACCACAAGGCTCAAGATATGGTGTGGTATTTTCTTGCAAGTCTTTTGCAGTGAACTAGACCAAGAGGTTAGATCCTTGAAGAGAGACGATAAAACTTTCCAGAGCAAGGGATGTACCATTATAACATTCTGATTCTGAAATATTCCAAGAATCTTATAATTTGCTTTAGAACACATCAATAGTTATAGCTTTGCTTTTCCCCCCTTATCAAGAGGATTGAAACCAGGAATGGTGGTACATATCTGTAATCCTAGCTCTTCTGGAGGCTGAGGCAGGAGGCCAAGGCAGGAGGATTGTAAATTCAAGGGAGGCCAGCCTGAGAAACTTAGCAAGACCCTATCTCCAAAAAGAAAAGAAGGACTGAAACCGGGTGCGGTGGCTTATGTCTGTATATAATCCCAGGACTCTGGAAGGCTGAGGCAGGAAGATGGCAAGGTTGTTTTGTTTTGTTGGTTTTTTTGAGACAATATCTCATTATGTAGTTTAGGCTAGTCTTGAATTCATTGTGTAGCCCAGGCTAACCTTGAATTCACAGCAGTCCTCCTCCCTCAGCCTCCCAAGTGCTAAGTTTATAGGCTATGCGCCACCCAGCAAGGATGGCAAGTTTGAGAATATCCCAGACAGTTTAGGGACTTGGGGAGATCCCGTCTCAAAACTTAAAAAATGAAAAAAGAGCTGGGAATGTAGCTCAGAGCAAAGGCCCTGGATTCAAACTCCAGTACTGGAAACAAAAGGTACCAGTTTGGGGCTGGGGGTGTAACTGAGTGATAGAGTCTTTACCTAGCATTGCAGCACAGCAAAAATAAAGCTAAACAAACTGACGCCATTTTATCAGAAATCTTCATTGCTATGGATATAGCCAAAGATTGGAGATCGGGATCTTCCGTTAGAGTTTGCAGATAGGAACAGGTTTTAAGACATGGCAATTCACCGAGAGGTGGGCCTTGGGTGTACTTAACATATTAGTATGTTGTGCTAGAATAGTGTGAATCAGAGAAAAACACTAAACCAACATAAAAGGACAGCTAGTTGTTTAATAGTTCAACAAGAAATCCTAAAAGATCAGAAGGTGCAGGAACGTGCTAGAGTCAGAACCCTGGTGTGGTGGCAGGAGACCAGGTCTGTGTGGTGGTAGGACTCAGTCACAGTAAGACTGGGGATTAGGTTACAAATCTCTAGAAGGCCAGATTTTGGATGAAATGTTACCATGACAATTTACAAAGGTCTGAGAAGATTGGATTGGAGTGTTCCAAGAATGTTGGATCAGAGTATTGTGCTGGGAGGAGCTAATAGACTGGAATGTCACATCAGAGGTGACAAAACAGGGGTCTTCTAGCATTTCCCCTCAGAGCCAGCCCTGGGGTTTAGGAGAAGGGCTTCAGAGGCCTCCAGGAGACCTGAGGAGCTGGGTGTGGGGGGTGCCTGATGGGCATGTCAGGCAGGCTTAGGTCCCCAGGCCAGGAAGGGAAGGTCCACTTTGCTCTGCCCCTCACCTTGGGTTGTCACCTGAAATTGCTTTTAAAGGAAAAGGAAGCTGGGTGTGGTGGCTCATGCCTGTAATTCCAGCACGCTGGGGACCCAAGGCAGGAGAATCAAAAGTTTGAGCCTAGCCAGGGCAATTTAGTGATTTGCAAGACCCTGTCTCAATATTAAAAAAAAACCTATAATCCCATAATTTAGGAGGCTGAGGCAAGAGGATCACAGTGAATTCAACGCCAGTCTGAACTACATAGCAAGACCCTCTCTCAAAAAACAAAACAAAAAATAAATTTTATAAAAAGGACTGGGATTTTGTTAGGAAATTTTGTGGGGTTTTTTTCCATAAAATTAAAAATAAATAAGGCTACTAGTAGAGGAACAATTGAAATTATTGCAGGAAATAACTATATGCCAATAAATTTGAATACCAAAATTTACAAAAAAAAAAAGGACTGGGGATGTAGCTCTGTAACAAGGCTCTGGTTCAATCCTTAGTACCACAAAAAGGGAAGAAAAAGAAGGAAGGGTTCCCAGGAATCAAACAGTCTTTGTGTTAAAGGGCCCCGTTTTTGGAGGGTGTGTGGAGGGTCAGGAGCATGGTTCTGAAGAGAGACTGAGCCTAGGACCTGTTCCCAACCAATGTTTCTGTGCCCTCACTGCCCCCAGCTGCCTGTGTCAGGGAATCTGCTTGATGTGTACAGTAGTCAGGGTGTGGCTACGCCAGCCATCACTGTCAGCAACTCCTGCCCAGCTGAGCTGCCCAACATCAAACGGGAAATCTCTGGTAAGTGCTAGGGTCTTCATTCCATGCCCCCACCCTGTATCTTTGGCTGAGCAGTATGCCTTCCAGGTGAGCGAATGGACCTGATTCTGGGGGAAGGGGTTTGAACATTTTACAAATGGGCTGGGCAGCTGGATGTAGTGGGCTGTGCCTATAATCCCAGCACTTGGGAGGCTGAGGCAGGAGAATCGCTATGAGTATGAGGCCAGCCTGGACTGCGTAGTGAGTTCAAGACCAGCCTGAACTACATAGTGTGACTGTCTCGATAAAAGAAAAAATGAAACAGGTGCCAGGGATTTAGCTCAGGGATACCGCACCTGCCTCACCAAGTGCAATGTCCTGAGTTCAATCCCTGGTACCAAGAAAGAAAAAAAAAAGGAAATGGGCTGGGGGTGTAGCTCAGAGCTAGAGCACCTACTTAGCATGTTCAAGGCTTGGATTTGACCCCCCAGCATTGCAAAGAAAGAAAAAGAAATGCAGAGTTCCCCCTCTTTATCCATATGGCTCATGGCTTCACAAATAGTAGGACAGGCATTCTTTTAAAAAGTCACTTCCAGCCAAGTGTAGTGGTCCACACCTATAATCTCAGCACTGTGAAGTTGAAGCTGAAGGATCGAAAGTTCAAGCCCATCCTGGGCAGTGACTTGGCAAGACCTTGTCTCAAAATGAAAAAATTAAAAAGGGCTGAGGTTATAGCTCAGTGTGAAGGCCCTGGGTTCAATACTGCAATAATGATGATAATAATATAATAACTAATAAAAATCAAAATTAAATTTAAAAGCCACTTCAATCCCAGCACAGTGATGCACACCTTTTGCTACCCCAGCAATTTGAGAGAATGAGGCAGGAAGATCAGTTAAGCCCAAGGACCCAAGGATTCAGGGCCAGCCTAAGCAACACAGTGATATCCCATCTGTTAAAACAAAACAGGAGGCTGAGGCAGGAGAAGCACAAGTTTGAGCCCAGCCTGGGCAACTTAGTGATTTAGCAAGACCCCATCTCCACATAAAAAAAGGGGGGCCGGGGACTTAGCTCAGTGGTTCCGCCGCCTGCCTTGCAAGCACAAGGACCGGAGTTCGATCCCCGGTACCAAAAATAAATAAATAAATAAAAATAAAAAAAGGTCTGGGGAAGCAGTGAGAAGACCTGGATGCAATTCTTAGTTTTATAAAAAAGAAAAATAGCTATGTCCTCTGCCCCTCTGCATGTGCACTTCCTCATTCCTCTCCTAGCAGCCCTGAACACCCCTGCTCTTTTCCAGAAACCGAGGCAAAGGCCCTTTTGAAGGAACGGCAGAAGAAAGACAATCACAACCTGAGTAAGCCCCAGCATGTATGCGCTTGCCCGTGTGTTGCCCAGCCCACTGCTCTCTCGAGTTCCAGGCCTTTCTCCATATGGGAACCCTCACAACAGCCTACAGCACCCCCGTTTCTCTCTCCCCTCCTTCACTCATTGACCACTATTTCCTGCTCTGTTTCTGCCCTTGCCTCCAAAGTTGAGCGTCGAAGGCGATTCAACATTAACGATAGGATCAAGGAGCTCGGCACCCTCATCCCCAAGTCCAATGACCCGTGAGTCTGGGCCTGGGGGCTGCAGACCACTGGGAGGAGAACCCAAGGAAGCCAATGAGAGATCATACAGGTGTCTGGCTGAATATTCTAGACAGCGGGCATGGCCAGTACAGGGGCACTGAGATGGGAATGCTTTTCCATATTCTAAAAGTAAAATGAGCCAAGTGTGGTAATGTACGCCTATAATCCCAGCACTTGGGAGACTGAGGCAGGAGGATTGCCGTGAGTTCGAGGCCATCCTGGGCTACACAGTGAGACCCTGTCTGAAAACACCAAAAATGAATAAATAAAAGCAGTATGAGGCCAGTATGTAGTGAGATGGATCAGAGGGACACAGGCATGAGAAAAGGCAGAAGGGGCGAGGTTTCTGGGTATGATGGTCATCAGTGGAAGGTTCCAAGCAGAGGGCTTCGTGTAATTACTCCATACCCTTGATGTACCCCCAGGCACATGGTGGGGTGCTCCAGTCTGCCCCGTGCAATCCCCCCTCAGCTCCTGAGAGACTCCAATGGCAGCATTTCCATCTTCCCCTTGGCCCCACAGGGAGATGCGCTGGAACAAGGGTACCATCCTAAAGGCCTCTGTGGATTACATCCGCAAGTTACAGAAGGAGCAGCAGCGATCCAAGGATCTGGAGAGCCGGCAGAGATCCCTGGAGCAAGCAAACCGCAGCCTGCAGCTTCGGATTCAGGTTTGAAAGGAGGAAATGGTGGCAGGGGGGATAGGGGACTTCCTCTCTGGTCATGATTGGCATCCCCCAGCTTCCTAACTGATTTGATAGTGACAGTGACTACAAGTAATTGTCACAACTTTAATAACAATACCAGTGACTATTGACTGATGTACATAGTGTCTGTCTTGTGACCAGAGCTAACTTGTTTGATTTCCACAACACACACATACACACACACACACACACACACACACACACACACACACGCACGCACGCACGTGTGTATGTTTTTTTAAGACAGGGTCTTCTTTCTTTCTTTTTTGCAGTACCAGGGTTTGAACTCAGGACCTTGCACTTTCGAGGGAGGTACAGCACCACTGAGCTAAATCTCAGGCCCTAGATAGGGTCTTGCTACATAGTCCAGGCTGGCCTTGAACTTACTATGTGGCTCCAGTTGACCTGGAACTCATGGCAATCCTCCTGCCTCAGCCTCCCCAGTACTGGGATTGCAGGCATGCGCCACCATACCTGACTCCAAACAACACCCATATTATTATTCTCATTTAGCAGAGCGGAGCCCTGAGGCTCAAAGAGTGTAAGCTACTTGCATAAAATTCCAAAACTAGTGAGTGGCAGAAGCTGAACTGGAAGCAGTCGATGTAGCCTGCCTTGGTTTTTTTGTTTGTTTGTTGGTTTTGGTACCAGGGATTGAACTCAGGTCCTTGAGCCTGCAAGGCCGGCAGCAGAACCACTGAGCTAAATCCCCGGCCCTAGCCTGCCCTGTTTAGGTGGTACACTCCTCTGCCTCTGAGAGACAATAAACCTGTCTTATTTTGTATCCACCCCTTACTTTTTGCAGGAGCTAGAACTGCAGGCCCAGATCCATGGTCTGCCAGTGCCTCCCAATCCAGGCCTACTCTCCCTGGCCACGACTTCAGCCTCCGACAGCCTCAAGCCAGAGCAGCTGGACATTGAGGAGGAGGGCAGGCCGAGCGCAGCAACATTTCACGTAGCGGGGGCACCTGTCCAGAACACTCCTCAGCAGCAGCCCCCAGCACCACCCTCGGATGCCCTTCTGGACCTGCACTTTCCCAGCGACCATCTGGGGGATCTGGGGGACCCCTTCCACCTGGGGCTGGAGGACATTCTAATGGAGGAGGAGGAGGGGGTGGTGGGGGGATTGTCAGGGGGTGCCCTGTCCCCGCTGCGGGCTGCCTCTGATCCTCTGCTCTCTTCGGTATCTCCGGCTGTCTCCAAGGCCAGCAGCCGCCGCAGCAGCTTCAGCATGGAGGAGGAGTCCTGATCAGGCTTCACCCCTCCCCTGGGACTTCCCCACCCAGGAAAGGAGGACTTGTGAGGCTAAGGCTCCACCTTTTCCCACACCCTCCCATGAAACTGCCCTGCCCAGGAATTCTGGGGGAAGAGATGCGATCAAGGCTCCTGCCTGTGGTAGGCAAGGTGGAGGAGTCAGGGGTGGCCCTGCCCCTTCCCCCAAAGGAACTACCCAGTGCAGGTATTTCAGAGAGAGAAGGCAGAAGAAACCTGTGCGATCAGGGGTCATTACCCTGAGGGTCCCACCCTTGGCCAGGTAAGGAAGGGAGACACAGAGTGAGGTCCCACTTCTGTCACCTAAAGAATAGCCTTACCTGGTCTCCTGGGAATAGATACTAGGATGCTGCTCCGTCCTTTTCTTCGGGAACCACCAGTCTAGCCCATCCAGGCACTGGAAGAAGAATCTAGTTCAGTGATAGCTAACCTTGTAGTGCTTTCAGTAATAACAAACAGCCTGCTGCAGCACTTGAGCTGTAGGATCACCACCACTGGTCTAAACATGGGGGTCCCACCCCTGGAGGTTTAAGCCCCGCCTCTTCCCCGTGTCCCTGGGAGCTCAGTCCTGGCCTTCTGGGGATGGAGGGCAGGCCTCACCCCTTACCTAGAAGAGCCAGCACGGGTGTTTCAAGTGTGGAGGAATTAGTAGGATCAGGGCACCCCACTTAGAGACCACCACCCTGCCTCTGGCCCTTAGTGACATCCCACACGAGCATTCTACACTTCAGGGAGGAGCAGTGCTGAAGCTCCCCGCCTTAATCTGGGACCAGCCTGACCAGACCTGGGCAGGCTGTGCACTGACCTTGCTGTCCTAGAAGGGGCAGATCGTGAGCTGTGTAGACTGGCTTCCCAGACCGACATCCAGATTGAGAGTTAGGCTCCCACCCTTGGGCACAGACCTGCCTTGTTCGTTGAGGGACTGTTTGAGACAGTGATAGGGATTAGTGGCGATCCCTCCCAGTCACCCAAAGCCAGTACCCAGTTCAACTTGCAGAACGTGTGAAGGGGATTTCCCAGCCTGGGAAAATGAAGCCCTCTACAAGGCAGAAATTTGGGGGAAGGGTTGCAAATGCATATCGTATCCCCCATTTGTTTATCTGATTTTTTACTGATTTCCCCTTACTCAGAAGCTAGGTCACCCTGAAACTTTGGCCCCCACCCAGCTCTCCATTTCGAGGATCCTCGATTTCAGTTATCAAGAGACACTCCCTGCCCATTCCCACCCCTCATACCACCTACATCCAAGGTCATCAGCTTTGGATTGCTTGGGCCAGGCCCCAAGAACAGTACTGAGGGGTCTGTAGGTTTGTGATTAAAATAAATGCTAGGCGTGTTTGATGCGCTTTTAACTTTGGCAGAGTCTACTGTCCTTGTTTGTTGTTTTTGAGATAGGGTCTCACTATGTACTCCAAGCTGTCCTCCAACTAGCAATCCTGCTCCAGCCTTGCCAGTGCTAGAAGGGAAAAAAGTCACTGAGGAACCTATTGCAGAGGGATGAATAAGGAAGTTTGTACCTGAAGAGGGCCTGGAAGAAAACCAACTGCAAGCAGAAGCAATCAGTCCTTTGGGTGACCTGCCAGAAATATCTCACAGTTGGAGTTGTTCCACCTGATTTATTTCCTGGAGGAATGTTGGTCAGCAAGTGATGCTGGATGCAGTGGTGCACGCCTGTGATCTCAGCAGTCGAGACTGAGGCAGGAGGGTCACCGTGAGTTTGAGGCCAGCCTGGGCTGCATGGTGTATTCAAGCCAGCCTGAACTACATAGCAAGACCTTGCCTCAAAAA